CATTTCACTCTCGGGCTTATTTTCAACTCTATGGCCCTCCATGCTTCTCAAAAAAGGTAAAGAAAATAACTAAAAATTGCAGCAAGATCAAACAAGACACCTTTTGGAACCAACAACACTTTCTTGGTGTCCTGGGCTTTTCCCACAAAAGATTCATTTTCCGTGGGATGAGAGAAGAGAGAGAAAAGACAACCGCCCTCTCTAGAAGCCTCAAACCACGTGGGACTTGAATCGCCCCTTACAAAAAACTCCAATGAACCCTAAAAAACTAGGGCGCCACTTCCTAGGTCAAAATTGAAGAGTCCAATAAAAGTAGGACTCTTCCCCTTTCTCCAGTTTTTCCTGATTCTGATGAGAAACCCTAGACCAGYTATAGGGCACATAGATCCATCAAGAAAATCCAAAAACTGGGCTTACCTGAGAGCTTCGATCAGCCTCTTAAATCACCATGCAGTCGGCCAATCTAGGGCTGCATGAGAGAACAACTTCAAAAACCTTCAACTTGCTCTGATATCAAGTAGGAATCACTATTTGCTAATTCAGTCAAGCTTATTGTGAGAGAAAGAGGGGGAAGGTGAAAATTTCAGCAGTAGAGAAGGAAGGAGAAGAAGAAAAGAGTAGGAGGTCAACTAGAGTTATGAGAAAGTTAACCCTAGCCGCCAGCCCCTCATTATATTTATATTCAACTTAAAGATGAGATATTACAAGGATGCCCTTAGTAGGGCGGCTACTAAAACTGAATAGTCACAACTTTAAAAAATAAAAAACTAATGGGCCGAGGGCCCAACAACTTCCTAATTAAATAAAAACAAACTAAAGACAAACCGGGCCACTCAACAAAACAAACCGACCCACTCAACAACTTCCTTCTTGGATCTTGCAACTCCAATGCCAAGAAAGTATTAGAGATCACCAAGGTCCTTAATCTCAAATTTGAAAGCGATGAAGGACTTTAACTGAGAGATACCTGTGATATCATCACCTGTCACAACAATGTCATCAACATATACTATCAACATTGTTACTCTACCATCAACACTTCTAATGAATAAGGTGTGGTCAGCCTGAGATTGAGCAAAACCCAATCTTTAAAATAGCATTTTTAAACTTGTCAAACTAGGTTCTCAGAGACTTCTTGAGCCCATAAAAAGACTTCTTCAAGCGGCAGACTTTTCCATCACTGTTAGGAAAGCTTACCCCAAGTGGTAATTCCATATACATTTTTTCTTGTAAGTCCCCATTAAGGAATGCATTCTTTACATCCATTTGATATAAAGGCTAAGAGTAATGAGCAGCAAGAGATATGATCACACGAATAGAGTTCATTTTGGCAATTGGAGCAAAGGTTTCTAGATAATCAATGCCATAAGTTTGAGTGTATCCTTTGGCTACAAGTTGAGCTTTGTACCTCTCAATTGAGCCATCTGCCTTGTACTTAACAATGTAAACCCAATTACACCCAATAGGAATCTTATCTTTAGGGCAAGGAACAACCTCCCAAGTCTAGTTCTTTATTAGGGCCTCCATTTCTTGGTTCATAGCTTCCATCCAATGAGGGGACTGCATTGCCTCTGTAACACTATGAGGGGTGGAAACAAAAGAGATGAAAAAAATATAGGCACAATAGGAAGGTGGGAGAGCATCATAAAACATATATTTAGTAATAGGATACTTGCTACATGTCCTCTTCCCTTTTCGAATGGCAACAGGAAGATCAAGGTTAGAATCAATAATAGGATTGTCAAGAGGTTCAAGATTACCTGAGTCTAGGGAATCAGATTGTGATGGGCATTCTTCTTCAGGACCCACCCTTTTACTGCACCTGATGAAAACTGCTACCAGGACCGAGGTCGATACACAGGAGGCGGAGGAGGACAAGAAGGAATACCATCGTTATAAGGAACAGAGGGAGGAATGGAGGTGGGAACAAGAAGGTAGAAGGGAGTCCGATCTTCATTTGCATTCTCCCCTTGAAGAGAAGGACGGGATGACTGGAAAAAAGGAAGAGGACTCCAAAAAGGCAATATCCTTAGAGACATATCTCTTGCCAGATAGAGAATCAAAGCATCTATAGCCTTTCTGGACTGGAGAGTAACCAAGGAATACACATTTAACTGATTTAAGATCAAACTTACACCGAGGACTCATATCATGAACAAAACAGACACAACCAAAGATCTTGAGGGATATATTACAAGGAAGTTCATCAAGGAAAAGAAGTTGATGAGGAGAATGAAGGTTTAGGACCCTTGACAGGAGTCTGTTAATAAGATAATACAACTGTCTCAACAGCATCACCCTAGAAACGAGTGGGAATATGACTTTGAAACAGTAGACCACGAGCAAATTCAACAACATGCTTGTTCTTCCTTTCAGCCACCCCATTTTGTTGTGGAGTATGTATACATGAACTTTGGTCAATAATACCCCGATCTTTAAGAAATCTTTGCAACTGATGTTCTAAGTATTCTTTGGCATTGTCAAATCTTATTATCTTCACTCTTTTCTCAAACTGTGTCTCTACCATATTCATGAAGTTTTGAAAAATCATAGGAACTTCATCCCAACTTTTCATCAAGTAGAGCCATGTATACCGACTGTAGTCATCAATGAAGAGGATGAAATATTTATACCCACCCATGCAAGTGATAGCATATGGGCCCCAAACATCAATATGGATCAAATGGAAAGCAACATTACTTCTTTTACTGCTTGCAAAATATGGAGTTCTACATTGTTTGGATAGATGTCAAACTTCACATTCAAAATTCAACTTTGTCACAGAGTCAAACAAGTTTGGAAACAAAAGTTTTACAGAATTGAAAGACATATGACCAAAATGACAATGACATAATTTCAAGACTCATTTTCTCATTTGGAAAAAACTCAGTCTGGCTTGACAGTCCATGCTCTGAAGGTCCATCAAAGAGGTAGACTCCATCAACTTCATGCCCACTTCTAATCATCTTCCCCGTGCTCAGGTCCTGAACACAATATGTAGGAAAAAGTCACTGAGCAATTATGAGATTTTGTGAGAGAAAGAAAATACAACAAGTTTTTATGTAGTTGGGGACAATGTTCAAAGTATTGATACGTATCGGCTGATACATATTGTGTCGGTGGCTTTCCGATACACCCCTACAGGGTTTGTATCAGGTCAGCCACTGGTTCAAAGTGTAGCTGGGCCTTAAACCGGCTCCTTTGAATCGATTTCGAAAAAAAAATAAGTAAAACATAAAAAAAAGCACTGATATTTAGAACCTTGGCTGGGGCACGTGAAGAACATATCTAAAAGAAAGGATATGAGTGAGTTTGACTTCACCTTGACCCGAAATAGGGGTTTGAGATCCATCAACAACAGTAATCTTGCCCTTCCTTGGGGTTAACTTATATGAGGTAAAATGTGAGGGTATACTAGTCATATGGGCATTGGTCCTAGAGTCTACAATCCACGGGCTAAAAGATGTGGAACAAGCAAGTGCAATACCTGTCTTGGCATATGAATTAGATGGATTACTAGGTCTAGAACCAGATGAGGAGGATGTACCACCCTTTTCCAATTGCAACAATATATTTCTGAGTTTGTCCATTACGTCAGAGGAGTCAAGCACATCAGAAGGTTGAGCATCATTACCAACTGTAGCCAAGTGAGGATGTACACCCTTTTCCAGCTGCAACAATATATTCCTGAGTTTGTCCATTACATCAGAGGAGTCAAGCACACCAGAAGGTTGAGCATCATTACCAACTGTAGCCAAGTGAGCATTGCCCTTCATACCGGTTTTGTATTTCTCCGACTTTAAATGAGGATTGAGCTTCCAACACCTTTCCTTAGTGTGTCTTGGCTTCTTGCAATAATCACAAATAACATCCTCAACCTTCTCAGTAATAGGGTGCTTGTTAGTATTTTGCTTGGGTTGAGATGACATAAAAGTAGAGTGATCAATCATAGGAGGTTGCATCATGGTGGTCCTTCGACTTTCTTCCCCTTGTACAAGGGAGGTTGCATCAAACTCTGGATTTAAGCCAACCAAGAAATCAAAGACTCTATTCCCCTCTATGTACTTCCGGTATTGCTCACCATCTTCAGGGTCCTTCCATACAAGTGCTTTCAAGTAATCCATTTCTTCCTAGATAGACTGTAGAGAAGAGAAATACATAGCCACGGATCTCTCCCCTTGACAAATACTACAAGCTTCCCTCAGAAACTGGTACACTCTAGCTGTATTGTTAACTTGGGAATAAGTGGCAACAACTCTATCCCAAATATCCTTGCCGTTGGAAGAAACATGTAGTTTCGGGCAATATGAGGTTGCATTGAGCAAATCAGCCATGACATAACAAGGGAGTTATCCTGTTCCCATTTGTAAATTTCGGGTCTTCAAGATTTGGCTTCACCTCCTTTCCTGTGATGAATCCCAGTTTACCTCTCCCAGTAATGGTAAGTTTAGCAAATTGAGACCACTCTAAAAAATTGGTTCCATCAAGTTTAACTGTAGTTATCATCCCACTAGCAATATCTGCACTTCCCGAGAACACACTGGAAACCATCTGAACATCCTTAGATGATTCCATATTCTATCAAGACAATTTCTCACCAACAAAAAAAGACCTCCAATACTTGACCAAAGCCACAAACCCACTAACCAAGGTCACCACACGGATAAGAGACAAAAGGAGGCCAAAAAACCAGATTGGCGGCAAAATAGAGGGAGAAGAAAAACTCTCAAAAATTATATAGGGATCAGAAAATTACGGCACCACTTTCTATCATTCCCAAAGAGTAAAACGACCTGAATGGTCTAGGTTTTACATCAGAAGAAGCCATTAAACATGATGTACAAGGCTCAGATCAGATCTAAAAATTCTGCGATTTTCTCCTTGAAAAGACCACTAAAAATCATAGAAGTTTCAAACAAGGGCAAAAGTCATACCAAAATTCCTCTAAAATGGCGAATCAAACCATGTAAGTTTCATTGACTACTGTCGACACCTGTATGGATTGCTAACGTCATCCAGTGGCGGTCTGACGTCAACAGTTCACCTCGTGGGAGAGGATTAGTAGGAGAGGTACTCCCAAGTGCCTTTACCCGCTCTAATACCAACTTGCAAAACAAAAGTTAAAAACTAGGGTTTAGAAGAGAGAAAGCAAGAGGAGAGAAAAATTTTTATACTTTGAAAGCAAGAGGAAAGCAAAAGAAGAAGAGATGTATCAAGAGGTGTGTGTTAGCTACTGTTACACACCCTCAAAAGATCTTTATACTTTGAAAAGAGTAAATTACAAGGAAGCCCCTACTTGGAAGCCCAAATACAAAAATAGTACAAGGAAGAGAAAATTTCCAAAAACACCCCTATCTAAGCATGCTTAACAACAATCAAAAGAGAGAACAAAAATACTCCCAAATACCAGACACAAAATGGTGGGAGATTAGTAAATGAAGATAGGTCGCACCACAAGCTTTGCACATTATACGGTTATACACACATTAGGAGAGAGGCACAAATTGGGCCTCTTTTTCTGAAGCATGTTCACAGGTATTAATCTTTCCAAGGAACACTACCCAATACAAAGCTTGAACCTTAGGAGGGATGGGCTTGCTCCAAATTTCTTTAATTGGGAAGTTCACCTCCAACGAGTCATAAAGGACAAGTTGATTAAAAAAAGAAGCACAAGAGAATAAACCATCAAGGGGGGGAGGGTACCAAATTCTACCATCAAATAGACTTTGATCCAAGAAGACTTTCCAACTTGGCTGGTAAGAGAACAAGGGGGTCACAATCATTACCCCTCAAACCCCTACTAAAGCCAAAGTCCAATTTAACACAAAAAGGGAGGTTGCATAAAATTTTGAAATGGGTTCAATCTTGTAGTTGGACAGAGTATAGCAAAGGGAATTGCAAATTAAGGGGCACATCACCAAGCCACAAATCCTCCCAAAACAAGACTTTATTGACACACCCCACATGAAAGCGAGTGAAATTGAGATAGGTTGGGAGCACCACTTGTATTGCCTTCTAGGGAGAGTATGAGGAGGCGTGATTTACATCCAAACCATTTTCCGAGAAACCATGAATGCTTCCAATGACCCTTTGGCATAGCCATCACCTTCTAGGGGAAATCTCCATAACCACTTATTGAACAAAGCCTCACCTAATTCCTAGCCCACCTTGTTCCTTGGATTTACATACCTGTTCCCACTTCACCAAATGGTCTTTCCTTTCATCATCCAGTTCCAGTAAGTCCCTCATGTACTTATCTAACTGCCTAACCACTTTACTTGGAATGTGAGAGGTGGAAAGGAAGTATATAGGCAAGTTGGCTAGTTTAGACTTAACCATTAGAGTTATTTTCCCTCCCATTGAAAGGTGGAAAGGAAGTATATAGGCAAGTTGGCTAGTCTAGAATCATTTTGTTCTCAAATTTCCCCCTAAAGGGAGTCCTAGGTATTCTAGTGGCCATTCTTTAACCTCACAGCCTAGGATTCTTGCCAATACTTGAACTTTTTCCTCTCTCAGATTTATTCTAGCAACACAACTTTCCCCCAATTCACTTTTAAGTTAGAGATCCTCTGAAAGACATTGACTAGATCCTTTAATCTCAAATTACATTCATCACCCCCCTTTTCCAATCCTTCCAGCCATGTTTGACTTTGATTGATCAGGTGGTTTTGAGGTTTGATTTAGCCAACCCAGTTCTGATGTTTTACTTTCACCTACAAACTGCAAATACAATTTAAAAAATCCACCCTTCAATCCTTCTTCACAAGACCTGATGGAATCATTCTTTCTTTGAATGTAGCAACCTTTTGTTAAGCGATAGTTCAGCTTCTTTACATGTGGTCCATGAAGAGCCATGTCACCATCCCTAACCTTCTGTCTCCCCCTCTCAAGGTTTGAAATGTTGATGTCGGTGGAAATGTCGGTCATCCAAATATAAGAAACATGTCGGAAATATCGTACAGAAATACTGTAAAAATTATAGATATGGTGGAAACTTTGTGAAATGTGCAAAATATAGAATGTTATTTTATGAAATGA